TCCTCCTCCTCCTCCTCCTCCTCCTCACCCAGCTGCGAGACGCTGGTTTGATTGCAGAAAGCTTGCCCTTTGTCTCCGTCACATGTCAGGGTGGAGCAATTTGGCTGACCTTTTTCGCTCATGGAGGACAAGAGCGACTTTGATTCCTGCAGCTGCTCCTGCAATGCGGCGATTTTGTTCTGGAGAGAGTGTGATGGCGGATGAGGACGAGGAGAGAAGTGAAAGAGGGAGGAGGGAGGAGGGAGGAGAGAGGAGGGAGGAAGAGGAAGGAGGGAGGAGGGAGGGGGGAGAGGGAGGAGGGAGGGGGGAAGAGAGACGGGGGAGGAGAGAGTGTACAGAGAGGAGAGAGGAGGGAGGTGACAGAGGGGAGACGTGGGAGAGAGGAGGGAAAGAGGGGAGGGAGGAAAACGATGAGGACGAAGACGAGGACGAAATAGGACTTGAGCGATCGTACTTGCAAAATGATCATGTCATGCTCATGTTTCGTGTTGAGTCTGTTTGTAAAAATCATGGGATTGCTATTAACACCCTCTCCTTTCCTTCCATCACCATCATCATCATCATCATCATCATCATCGTCATTGTCATTGTCATCATCACCATCATCGTCATCGTCATCATCTGGATATCTTTCCTCACCTTTTGTTCATCTCGTCAAGATGTTCTTTCTGTTTGGCGCAAGAGCTCATGTCTGCACTCAATCGTCAAAAACTGCACGAGATGATGAAGAATGTGAAACAAGACAAAATTGAGCCAAACAACTTGTGATTAAATGTGAAGAGGAATAAAGGAAACGAGTACCCAAAAGGAGCAGGAGCAGGAGCAGGAGCAGGAGCAGGAGCAGGAGGAGCAGGAGGAGGAGCAGGAGGAGGAGCAGGAGCAGGAGCAGGAGCAGGAGCAGCAGGAGCAGGAGCAGGAGCAGGAGCAGGAGCAGCAGGAGCAGCAGAACAAGAATCGTTGCATCATTTTCTTGTACCTGTCTCATGACTTCTCTGCTCCATCAACAGATCGTGCTTACAAACCCTGACCCTGATGCGATCAAATGCAACGACAGGTCAGATCAGTGCAATGCAAGCATTCACAGAATCGTCAGATCTTTCTTTCTTACGTCGAAGACAAGTTGGAAGACAGCAAATGCGCGTCGTTCTCATGGTGCTCGGCATGGCTGAAAGCAGCAAATGAGGTGGAGAGGGATGGAAATTTCCTTTCCTCCTCACCCTAAGTGTCGGATGAATTCCCACACAAGATGCGGATAATCTTGTTTCGTGCTTCTCCTTGCAGCAACATGTTAGGAGTGATGAGATGAGATGAGATTAGATGAGATGAGATGAGATGAGATGAGACGAGATGAGATGAGATGAGATGAGATGAGATGAGATGAGATGAGATGAGACGAGATGAGACGAGACGAGACGAGATGAGATGAGGGGGAAGGGGAGGGGGGGGCAGCAGACTTATCGGCACGACAGATTGTGATCTTGCCGTAACGATGTGCCAGCGATGCAAACTGTGAGCGAAGAGCGATCAGCATGAGAAGAAAGGAAAAGGGAAGAGAAGGAGGAAGAAGAAGAAAAGGGGGAAAGGCAGGAGCGGCAGAGCTTGCAATTCTTACCAAGAAAGCGCAAACAATGATTGAGAGAAATATTCTCAACCACGTACTTTGATTCTTCTGTTGCCACACCAATGAGAGACAAACCGCAATCAACATCATCATCATCATCATCATCATCAGCATCAGCATCATCATCATCATCATCATCATCATCATCATCATCATCATCATCTCCTTCTCCATCACCATTACCATCCTCGACAGCAGCAGCAGCAGCAATTACAAAAACAACGTTCTTCAGCAGCAGCATGGTTCATGGAATGATTGTCACCTGCACTTTCTTGGCCATGGAAAGTTTTTCATTCAGCTGTCTGACAGCCGACTGCAACTTTTGTCATGGAACAAGAATAGAAGTGAGTCCGGAAGAAGCACCTTGAGCTGATTGTTCTCCTCTTCAACCTGCGGGTTGTTTCATCATCGTGAAATCATCCCATTCCCAAGTTGACTTGTTTTTTATGAGGATGGAAATGATGATGATGATGATGATGATGATGATGATGATGATGATGATGATGATGATGGAGGAGGAGGAGGAGGAGGAGGAGGAGGAGGAGGAGGAGGAGGAGGAGGAGGAGGAGGAGGAGGAGGAGGAGGAGGAGATCATGATGAGGATGACAAAGATCGAAGATATTGGAATGATGATGACAATGGCTATTGTTCACACAGCCATACAAACCCTCACCTCAGCGCGCGAGATCGCAAACCCTTCTTCAATCTCTGCAATCTTGGCATCTTCGTCACATCCCCACCAAGAACAACAAGCTGCTCCACCGACTCGCTCCTCCTCACCTGCGATCTGGACGTCGCAAACTCGCTTTCCATTATCTCCATCTGCCTCCCAGCTCAGTGCTGACCGACGGCTCTACATCTACCTCCACCTTCTCCTGGAAGCCCGACAGCTCCTGGGCCTTGTCCTTGAGCAGCAGCTCCAGTTCTGCTACTACAAAGGCGCAACAAGCTTCAGTCCTCCCTCCCCGCCGCCCTCCCTCCCTCTCACCTCTGCTCTTCGCTGCCAGCAGGGCCTCTTGCTGCAAGCATCAAGCAGCGTCATCCCCTCCTACCCACCGCCTCTCTCCCTCTTACATCGTGAGTCAGGTTGGCGCAGTCCATCGGCCCCTGAGGAGGAGGAGGTCACTCACGTCGATCCACACGGCAGCTCCTCACCCGCACTGCTGTCTCGGATGCATCGAACGTCTCCATCGCCTCCTCTCCTCCCCTGCTCTTCCTCCTCCTCTCTCCCTCCACCTCCTCCGCCATCCTCTCCTGCTCCACACGCATCTCCAGCATCTCGTGCTCCATTGTCTTGATCTTGTCCTCCTTCCTCCTCACCTCCTCCTCCAGCTCCCTGCACCTTGCCGCCGAGCTCTCTGCCTCCAGCCGAAGGTCGAGAGCGGCCGCTGCCATCTTCCTCGTCTCCTCCGCCAGCATGTGTTCAGCAGACGAGTACTTCATCCGCAGCTTGCTCGCGCTCCTCGCCCGAAGCTCCTCCAGCTCCCGCTCGATCCTAGCGCTCTCCTTAAGCCAGGTCTCCGACAGGAGCTTCTTAGAAGACGCCCTCGAACTATCGGAGCTGGTCTCGTGCTGGGAGATGCAGGACATGGAAAGATCGATGATCCGATGTTTCTCCTGCCCCTCCCTTCGTCGTCGCCATGGCGCGGAGGAGGCGACAGCAGGGTAGAGGCAGCCGACATCTCTCCGAGCCGATGAGCGTCCGACGGCTCCCCAACCCTGACATCTCCCTTCATCTCCTCCTGCTCATCAGACTGGTCGTTGTTGAAGCCAGATCGCACTGCTGTCTCGACTGCTGGGCCCCTCCTTACCCTCACCTTCATGGTACCTGCCTCCTCTCCCGCTCCCATCTTTTCTCCTGGAACGTCCTGGGCATCTGCTACCTGCTTCGACTTTCTTCCTCCTTGTTTCTCAGAACCCTCGGAGTAGAGGAGGAGGGAGGGAGGGGGGGAAAGGTAGATCTCTTCCACGAAGATGTTCATCCGTTGCTCCGGGCTGGGAGGGTATTCGCTCGACGTTACTTGCTGGCGGTCAAACATGCTGCACAAGAGTCTTGCCTCCACTTGACATCAACTGCAATCAGCAGAACTCGTGAGATCATTTCAACGTGTTCTCAACAACGAGGACAAGCTCTACTCTACTCATTTCGCTTCTTTTCCCTCACTTTCTTGACGGACGTTGCACCTCCATCTCTCTCACCCGCGGTGAATAAAACTTCAAACAAGATAATGAACTTCTCTGTACACTAACCACTTGCACTCGACCACTCCAGAACGATTCTGACTTCTTTCTTTGTATTGAAATCTGCATCAACTAACCATCCTCCAAAGTCACACCTATTGTTCTGATGTGTTTCCATCCGATCTGCTCCTAACTCACTGATCATCGCCTGCTCTCCCCTCCTCTCTTCCTTTCTCCCCGTCCTGCTGCTGGGTCCTCTCCTGATCTGCCTTCTCTCCTTCATTCTCAGCATGTTCGCCATGACTACCTCTCGCTCACTCAATCCTTGCCAGTATGATCGTATGGTTTTTGGTGGAAAACGCCCCCTTTGGGTATTTTTCCACAAGTTGAACAACATTATGAAATCACGTAAACTTGTTTTAATAATTCTGAATGTTGCTGATAAAACTTTCAAAATATTGTTCTATACTGTACTTTGACCGCCCCAAAGAAAAATCACAAATTCAGTCAGTCAAAAGTATGAATGCCCCGGGGCCATTGTACAATGTTAGGGGGTGGGGGTACCCACCCCCTTGTGTTCCACCCCTGTCACCATGTCATCCGCCATGGTGGAGACGGTCATCAAGGGCAACACCCGGTGTTCTTCTGGTACATTAGAGGGGTAGGGGTGATAGAATGATTATCACTGAATTTACAGTAGGGGTACGGCAGTACCCCATATAGAGCTTCCATGACCCGGTAGTTTCCCTCTCGATGGGGGGTCCAAGGCCACCACCGACGTTTGGGAGTCCGAACTTGATTGTCCACGTACTGATTTTTAACTTAACTTTGAGTAAACCAGTGACCTGAATGGTACTGATTTTTCACTTAACTTTGAGTAAACTCAGAATGGAATTTGCTCGACTCAGGAGGCTTGAGGGCCGGGCCCCGGCCGGAAAGTGAAATGTGTAACGGTTTGACTGAATTTGTAACGGATTCAAATCATGAAGAGTCATGGTGAGGACACCGGTTCCAGAATTTTAATGGGGGTGGGGGTACAAATTTTGAGGGTGGGATAAAACGATAGTGCTGGAGTACCCGGTACTATCTGGTAAAATATTCGTTATATCATGGGGTATGTACATAAATGACGGGTACGTTCTCTTAATATACAGGGTGGGGGTGCATCTCACGGAGGAATCGGGAATCTGAGCGGTGGGGAAGAGTATGGCAGAAATCGGGAGGTAGGAGGGGAGAGGAGAAGCGAGAGGAAGAGAGGAAGAGATCAGAGGATCATCAAGCAGAGCTCAAACAAGAGACCAGAGTGTTGAGGAGGAAACGAGCCTGGTGCTGAGAATGACGTCGCCGACTGCCATGAAGCTAGCTCGCTCCAAGGTCGGGGGTGGGCTGGCATTCTTGCTTCTTGTAGCCGGGGTTATGGTGGCGCATCGAAACTCCGATGGTGACTTGGCCATGCTCCTCTGGTTGTTGTAACATGCTTGACAGTGGTGACCCTGGTTTCTTCCCCTTCCGTCACCTACGTAACTCCGCAAGCAACTCAGTTCTCTATCACAGTCCCCAAGGACTGGAAGGTTGGGAGCATGCTAGGGCTCAAGGTTCGCACAGAGAACCTCTCCTCCACCTTGCTGATCCCATGACAGATTCCCGGCCGAGGAGACTCGGTTATCAAGGTCCCTGCTGGAGTCAAGCCCGGGGAAACGTTTGTCTTCAACTTGGGGGGGGGCAGTGCTGCTGTACGTCTGGTCTTCTGCACTCCCGCACATGCTGAGACACGAGCAGAAGGAAATCGCTGTTTCCGCAAAGATCGAGAGCGGCCGCAAGATCCCCAGCTCCAGAAACACGTTGTTGAAGCTGGAGCAAAAGGATTTGACGTCGTTCCAGGTCAGTGAGGAAGACAGGAGGGTCGGGGGTGCTCGAAGTTGACAGCAGCGCAGGGGATGCTGACGTACGAGCGTGCGTTGAGACAGACCATGGGGAAGATCAGGCACACGTAAGTCCTGCCCATGATGAGGCGACAGCGCTTGTCATCTCACTGGGAGCTGGGCTGCAGGTGGAAGACATCGAAGCTGCAGGAGAGCGACGAGCCTGAGATGGATACAGAGCACTTCATCCCCGCTGAGCTCGCTCCTGAGGCAGAGGGATGGGATCCTACGAACCCCAATGGCTTCCCTGCCAAGCCGGCGGACAAGAACAACGTAAACGGAGTGCCGGGTCAGTACGAGCATGGGTGGAGGCGAGCAACTCACGGTTTGTGTTTAGGATACACGTACGCTACCAATGGGAATGACCTTGAAGTGGAAGATGAGGTCCTCAAACTCTAGATGTTGATCATGTCAAGGACAAGGATGTTGTGGTCGCTTTTGTTGGTTAGGATGATGGAGATGGAGATGGTGGTGATTCCGAGGACGAACTTTGTTGTTATCGACAATGGAGATGCAGGAGGAGATAGCTGCATGTCTTGCTCTTTCCTCATCAGTTTCCCGCAAGTTGGCCGTCCTCACGTTCGGTTCTTTCCCAGGGAGAGGGTTACTATCAGCCAGAGGACCCCGAGCACCTCGAAGAGTACAAGCAGCTTCTCAAGTAACAGTTGCCCATCCCCATCCCTTCCTCCTCTCTCCTCCCCCTTCCCTTCCTCAACCTCCCTTCCTCCCCCGTCCCTTCCTCCCCCGTCCCTTCCTCCCCCGTCCCTTCCTCCCCCCTCCCTTCCTCCCCTTCCCTTCCTCACCCCTTCACCCCCGCTTCGTCTCCTTCTCTTTCCGTTTCCGATTTGTTCACTCGACCTCGTACAGGTACGACTGCTTCGCTAAACCCGGCAAGCCCTGGCTGGATCACGCTAACTGCGCCGCTCTCGTCAAACGGTCCCACCTGTACCCCAACGCGGACATGTTCCGGTTCTCTGGCGCGTTCGGATGGAACCCTCCCTTCCCCGACGGGCCGACGGCGAAGAATGCCAAGGGAGCAGAAGCGCCATCAGCCAACGAGTGAGTCTGACATGGCGGGAGCTGCGCGAGCAAGGGGTGATGAGGTGTTAGGTACTGGAACTATGGCAGTGACGAGGACCTGGAGAGCGCGGCCTCGTGGAATGGGAAGGAGTACGTCACGTGCTGCTGTTCCACTTGTTCGTAATGCTCCCTCAGGTACACAGAATCGGACGCGAAGTGAGGACGTGACGTGGGCTAAACAACAAATGGAGGAAAGGCTGTTGCTGTAAATTTCAAGGTTCAGTGCAGCGTGAACTCGATCTGGTGTATCTTGTTTGATAAAAACAGTTAAGATGAAAACAGTTAGAACTAGGAAATTACAAGCTCAGCAGCCTAGCTATCACAGTTATCTACAGGTTTGATATGCTACAGTAGGTAGTCAGGCCCAGCAGAAATCTATCTTGCGCTGTCATATCTGCTCGCTCACGTTTGAGGCGTTGCGGGGCCCTCGCCTCTCAGTCGCAGGGATCGCAAGCGTCTCAGCAGCAGCCCAGAGTCGATGCGCACAGCCGGATCGTGAGCCCAGGAAGCTTCGAGGATGGGGATGAGCCTCCGGCACTTGAGCCGATCGACGGGGGGGCGGATGAAGGGGCGATGGCTCTCGTTTGTGATCTCGTAGATCACATCGGAGAATGCCTGCTTGCAGGAGAACATCTCCCAGACGATCAGCGCGCAAGAGAAGATGTCTGCCTTGCAAGAGACCATGGGATTGTCCAGTTGCAGCTCAGGAGCCGTGTACCGCTGGTCCCTGGCAAAGCGCAAGCCTTGGGGGCGAAGGCCCTTGATCTTGACTGACTGCATGTCCTCCGTGATGACGATGTTGTCTGGGCAGAGGTCGAGATGCAGGATGGGATGCTCCTGTGTGTGCAGGAAGTGCAACCCCTTGACAAGCGCGAGACTCCAGCGAAGGGCCAGCTTGTTGCTGACATGTCTTCCTCCCTCACAGTCACGCTTGCTCATCCAGATCTCCTTCAGCGTGTATCCTGGAATCCACTCCAGCAGCACAGCATGTCTCCTCTCTTCCTCAGCTATCGATTCGACTGTCCCCGCAAACTGCTGCACGTTGGGGTGGTTGGGAACCGTCGAGAGGAAGCCGGCAAGCTCCCTAAGCTTGCTCTCAGCTTCCTCCGACGTCTCTGCAGTCCTGTTGCACTTTGCCACCAGCTGGTGGCTGCGAACTATGACTCGATGGGTCTCGTAGTCCTGTTGCCATGTCAGTGCGCCGCGTCGTCAGCATCATCGGAGGCTCCTCACCTGCCCACACTTGAGGCGGCAGATCCAGTCGATCTCATCGTGTCCGATGATCTCGTTCCTCAGGCAGTGATCATCTGCTGGTTCCCTCTTGGACAGACACTGAGAGTTCCTCCTGCTCTTCACTGTTTTCTCCTTCGGAACGCTGCTCGTTCTCTGAACACGCTTTCTTCTGAAGAGCCAGTCCATACAACCAATCTCCGCCTCGTTCTCGAGAAAGGTCCAATCTATATCAGAGCAATCGGACAAACAGTTTGTCGGAGCTTCCGACACATACGTGTTGTCAAGATCATAGTATCCTGCGTCTGACTTCCAGGAAACCTCCGACTGAGTGGACTTTGAGGAGTTGTCCCCTGAGGCGACGGGCTTCACAAAGTCGCAGCTCCGCAGCCTATCGAGCTGCAAGACGAGGCCTTCGACTTCCGAGTATGCGTTGCATGCAATCCCATGGCTCTCCTCCTTCATGATCAGCAACTGGAGGCAACGTGTCAGTGTCAACCACACTGTTGTGACTCAGGACAAGGTGGGAGAAGTTAAGACTTTGAAGCTTGAGAGCGTCTTGAAATGAGGAGATTGTTCGAATACTGCAGCACCTCGTCTAACATTGGATCGTTCAATCCTTGCATACTTCTAGATGTGCTGCTTCTCACCCTCTCTTCTCCCCCTGCCAATCCTCTGGGCCCTTTGCCCTCTACGACTCATAACCCCTTTTCCGGTGTCGCAAACCATCGGGCGATCCTATCTTACCCTACTAATACTTCTCCTTACAACTCCATTGACCTCTATCCCTCAGAACTTCGCTGTTCCTTGCCCCCTTTCTCCTCCCTCCCTTCGCCATCTCTCCCTATCCTCCGCCTCGCTCCAACGCCCATTCCATCTTCGCCCACTTCTCGTCACCCTTCGTCGGTCATATTTGAAAAAACTTCTTTTCGCAAACAACCCCACATACACATCACCCCCCAAAGTTCTACTCGACCACCCCCTGGTCCTATGTACCTCATCATATCCATTCACCACCCCACCCTTAAATACCCTTCACCACCCCTATCTCCCAATTCGAAGGATTTTGAAGGGCCACGAGACCACTGTTAACTTGTATTCAGGGTCACATCGTTGCATTCGACAAATTTAACTAACTTCTATGTTAAATTTTCAACTGTGGGAAAGAAATTTGAAAGCTGTCTGTTTTTCACTTTACAAGGTCACGAGGTTGTGCTCTAGTACCCCACCCCCTTAATTACCTTCTTTACAGTGGTTTTCAGGGGTGTGTGACATCGGCGGGGTCGTCCGGCAAGACGTTATGAAGGCAAGTGTCATGTAGGACGGTTAGAAAACGGTTACAGAGGCAAAGCTTGCAACCTATGAGCAGACGGCTCGTACTGATTTTTAACTTAACTTTGACTCGCCGTAAAACCGTTCACGGTTAACAGCCCGGCCGGCACTGAGGTGACTCTGATCACGCGCCTGTCGCCGGAACTCGGCCGGGCCGCCGGTGCCGCTGTGCCGCCGGAGGGTTGCCCGGCCCGGGCAAGTTGGTTCTCCCCGGGCCCGGTAAAATTGGCTACCGTACGGTCCCGTACCGTGTCTGTTTGAAAGAGACACCGTGCCGCCGTGGCCGACTACAGTGGCACTGTAGTCGGTCAGTACCGTGACTCAGTACGGTAGTTTCTGTGCCACGGTCCGAGGCTCCGCTTGAAGGGCCTGAACTATTCGGAAGTTCCGAGAGTAAACAGTGACCGTCGGCCCGGGCCGCATCATGGCACTCCGATCAGGCGATCCGATGGCAGTGCCGCTCCAGTCCGATCCGATGATCCCGGCAGCCCGCCGCGGCCGGGCCCCGGGCTGTTTTAAGTTTGTCCTGGTACTGATTTTTAACTTAACTTTTAATAAATGACCTCGACAGAGTGATGAGACGGTCGCTTTAAAAAGCTTTTAATTTAAAAGTTATCTCGGTACAGAGTTTTAAGATTTGACAGGATGGTACAATGTGAGGGGGTCGCCGAGTACTGAAGCCTTTTAAAATGCAGTAGCACCTGTACTACGTGATCGTGCCTCCAGTCCGCGGGATGAGAGCCAGAGGGGGGGTGGGGGGTGGGGGGCTGTGACCATAGCCATATAACAAAGGCTGGGTATTGAGGGGTCCTGAAATCAGGTTTCTTGAGGGTAGGGTACATCTACACACCGGTGGTGGGTTCGTTGCTCACTTAAAAGAATGGTGGAAACCTGCTTGGTAAGTGGAGGAAGGAGGAGAGAAGGAGGAGAGAAGGAGGAGGGACAGGACAGCAGGAACAGGGGAGGAGGACAGGAGAAGGAGGGAGTTGGCGAGAAAAGATGGAGAGAAGTATCAGAAAAAATGTGGTCAGACGGCAGACATGTTAAGAAAGTACAAGTGCCTTTAGAAATCTGCGGTGTAGACCAATTTGTCATACTGACTAAAACTGTACACTCTTGTGGGACTCGAACTTGATCTGACGTAAAAACTGGAAGATAATGATAGAGCTACATCATACAATCCTTCTAGTATGCAATCAGCATATTTGTACAATATTAGACTATCAGGGCAGTTCTGATGTAGGTGCAATATCGATCCATCCAGCTAGAATCATATTTTGTATTCAACATGTTGTCTTTGCTTTTCATGTTTAGAATTACTTCAGGATTACACATAAAGAATTCAGAAAAGAGTTCAGAAAAGAGTTCAGAAAAGTCAAGCAAATCTAAAACAGCTAGGGAACGGTAGAAATAGTTGTTTTTTGTTGAGCTGCCTCTTGTCATGTGATATGAGGCATGATTTTTCATTTTGAGGACCTTTGAGAACTCTCCCCCATGTATGAAACAAACATGAATCTCCACCACTTACAGCACCCACGTTCTACAGGCTTGTCGGACCGGCAGGGAATACAACATGCCGTCGGATGGTAAATGCAGGGTCGGCGACTGCAAGATGCCTTGTCAGTGCACTCCCAGCACGGCTGCTATGATCTATGGAAGTGTGATAGGAGGTAACGCTCCGTCGCTCATGTAGTCGGAACTCCTGGCGATGGCTGACTGGCCCCGTTTGATCAGGAGTTCTGCTGGTCGTTGTTATCTTTTGCTGCTGCTTTTACGCGCGACGCCGGTGAGGATCGTGACGAGTGTGTCTGTTAGAACGTCCCTGAGCTGTTAGTCATTCTTCAGGGCGAACAACAATGTTCCCCAAGCTATGATGGTCCAGTACCCGCCTCAACAGCAGGTCATCATGCAGAATGGCGTTCCCATTCCCATGGCAACGCCAGTCGAAGGAGTGAGCAATCGCATCGCTCGCTCAGCCTCTTTATGACTTGCTTGTCCAGTACCCCGGGAACCAGCGAGCGATGTATCCCCAGCAGCAAAACAACAACAGGAGAGCCTTGGGCATGGGACTTGCAGGAGGTCAGTGAAGCAAGCCTCGCTAGAACAAGTGTCAAGTAGCAGAAAATTTCATAAGATGGCGTTAGCAGTAGCAAGGCACAACAGTAGCATAGCAGCCTGAGCGTCAATCCCTTAGTAGTGCTGTGCTCAGGTAGCACTGCTCATCCACTCACCCTGTATGCTGCAGGTCTTCTTGGAGGTTGGGCACTTGGCTCAATGATGGATGGAGGTGCCGACTACGGGGGTGACTGCGGGGGTGACTTTGGTGGCGGCGATGGAGGATTTTGAAGCGGCGGAACTTGCCATCATGGCCGAACTGAGGACAGGCGGCTTACCGTAGCCTGAGTCTAAGTTGGAAGACTAAGTTGAACCAGACTCCTGGTGACCGTACGACGGTCTCTCCGTGTGTTTTACTATCAGTATGATTCAGTGAACTTCACTTATCCAAACTTGAAATTGCTGGCCGCGTGTCACTAGTACTCACTAGTCTGGAAACTCAGCACTGACTCGGAATGATTCAAGCAGGAGGCGGAACTTCGGAAGTTTATTATCGCCGGCCTTTGACTAGCTGTCAAAGTTATTTTGGTCCGAGCGGCGACATGTTCAGACTGGCACGGAAGTGGCAGCACGAAGGGATGGAGGAGACGACAGTAAGTGAGGAGGATGAGCAGGAGGCAGAGACCTTGAACTGCGAGGAGGAGAGAACAATGGTCGTTGGGGTGCAGTTCCAACAGTAATGTCTCAAGCTCACTCCTTTCCTCTGCTAGGGCATCACAATGCTTATTGAACAAGCGCCCCTATGCGTCGATGAGCACCAAAACGATGCTCCCTGCATGGACGACGGGAGCACCGACTGCTGTCAACCGCTGGAAGCCGTTCCGATTGAAGAAGGGCTTTCATGACACAAGGTTTCTTGTTCACGATAGATGAGAGCAATGTTGATGATTTGCTGCTGCTGCTGCTGCTGCTGCTGCTGCTGCTGCTGCTGCTGCTGCTGCTGCTGCTGCTGATGCTGATGCTGATGCTGATGCTGCTGCTGCTGCTGCTGCTGCTGCTGCTGATGCTGATGCTGATGATGATGATGATGATGATGATGATGATGATGATGATGATGCGAAGAGCGTTGTTGCTGGCATGGAGGTAATGACCCCAGCAGGAACAGATTCAACATGGATCGAAGGAACGACGTCAGAAGTAGAAAGTAATGCTGCAGACAAGCTGCTGAATCGGATATTCTTGATGACAGCATGGCTGAGGATAATACAGAGATGGGAAGGGACAGAAGTCAAGACAGCCATCGGTCAGAGCTGCTCATAGTGGATTAGTGTAGCTCGACAACGTGCTTGTGTTTATGTGAGGGTTGTGAAACAAACTTACTAGCCGGTGAACGCTGAGAAGAGGTTTTGACTCGTTACACATCCGCCCTGAATGCTCGAACAACTCCATCGCTCGGACTATTGGAGGAGAAAGACATTGCGATATGGAGAGAGGAAGGAGGAAGTGCGGCAGAAGGGGGAGGGGAGGTCCAGAGGGGAAGTGTAGGAGAAGTAGAGGACATACATCACAACAAACGACCAGGAGGACAAGGAGAACAAGGGCCAGAAGTTTTCACTGCTTCTGAGCATGTTGTACAATGTTGTATGATTCTTTTGTTTGAAGTGAAGCTCACGCCCTGAGTGTCTTTTTCAAGTCTTCTCTTCATCTTCGCTTCAGACGTGTGCACCTCCAAATAGCGATTTGGTTTTTGAGGACCTGTGAAAAATGGAATGAAGATTTCCCTGCCTACAAACCTGGTCCTCCTCCTCTTCGCACTCCCTCCATCCTTCCAAACATTCTTACAATTCACGGAGGCGGCAGCGGCGGCGCTTTGCTAGACGACAAGAAACATCTCGTCTTAGACTGTGCTTTCTTGAGAGCATGAATGGATCTCCAACGTGAGATGTGAGATGGTTTGAGAGAAGGTTTAATGCCTGACGATACACGTAGGAAAGAAACTGATTTGAGGATGATGATAGCAGCGGGAGGAAAACTCACTGAAGAGAAAATTCAAACAGCGAATGGAAATCGTTCGAGACTGTAGAATGGATCAGCTTTACCGCCTCAACGATGGAAATAAAATTCACACGACATGGAAAATCAGAAAGAGATTGTGGGATCATGTTCAAGCGGAGCGGGAAGGGGAGGCAGGGAGCAGGAGCAGGGGCAGGGGCAGGAGCACGAGCACGAGCAAGAGCAGGAGCACAAAAAGTTGTAAAGAAGGGGGGGGGGATCGGATGCGACCACTGGATTCGGGCAAAGGCGGGTCAGTGGGAGGAGGCGGTGCGAAGGGCGATAGAGAGGAGGGGAGGGGGGAGGAGCCCGGGGCAGGAGAG